GGTCTCACCTCTCACTGAGATGCACACAGAGCCTATCAGGTGAGTCTCTTTTTACCAAAGCACTGTGCACCTTTCTTTCCGGTGATTTTAGATTGCTTTCTGAAATGGGTGAATTTGTGCATGGGCCCTTTAAGAGCTGGTTTTAATTTCTTTGTGAACCAGCTTTTCTGGGGATACTCCTCAATGTTTTAGTAGCAGGCGATGTCAGATATTATGCCACTCATCTTGATTGCGCTGGGTCCACAAAATGCCTACAGTGGGAACACTACCTGGCTCAGGGCCCTCGTCTTCCAGGGAGGGCTGTGTACCTTTGTGCTGCTCCTGGGTGGCCGTGAAGCTGGCAGCTTGTGAAGGTGGCGTTTTTTCTCTCCAGAAGGGTATTTCTGCCTCTTCCACTTCAATTAGGATTGTTGTTTGTTGCAGGAGTTCCTCTTAGCCAGTTTTCAGTTCTCTCTCAGGGGTAATTTTTCCACGAGTAGTTGTAAGTTGGCTGTGTCCATGGAAGGAGGTGAGTTCGGAGTCTGCTTATGCCACCATTTTGACTTCTCTCTCTTGAATTATTTTGATGATGGTTTTCTGTCCTCCATTTATTATTCATCTCTTTTTAAAATCCCTATTAACTGGATATTGGATATCCTGGATTGGCATTCTGTTGTTTTCACCTACATTTTCTTTTTGGTTCCATTTTCTGAGATATTTCCTAAATTTCATCCTTCAACTCTTCTATTGAGCTTTTAATTTTAAATACCATGCTTTTAATTCACAAGAGCTCTCCTTTGAAAATTTTTGAGTATGTTTTTTAACAACATCTTAATGGCTTTGTTATATTCTCTTAACTCTCTGAGAATATTGATGCTTTTTTGGGGAAAGCTTTCCTCTCTTGCCTTGTTTTTTTTTCCTCCAAGTAGCTATTCTGTTTCTTTGTTTTGGTTGTATCTTCCATCTTTTCTCAGATGTCCCAAACTCCTTTTTGTCTTCTCATGTTGAGTAAGGGAAGGGAATGCTGATTGGAAACTCTGAACTCATGAATGGGACTTATTGACCACAAGCTTCACTATAGGGTGTTTGGCTGGGCCAATTATTTGAGGCATCTCTGACCTCAGCATCTTTAGATCTTCCTCTTGGAATGTTCAGATTCTTGGAAAACATTATATGCATCTTTTGCCTGGGGAGTAATGCCTGGGTGCTGTGATCTGGAAGCCAAGTGAAGGACAAATATTTGCTCATCTTATTTTCATGTTTTCTGTATACCCTTGCCTCGAATGTGGTTGATATACACTCAGCTCAGAGATCTTGTTTTATTCCCTCCAGAGAATACACTTCCAGTCTTTTCCTAGTGGGAGAAGAGTGGTTGCCCAGTTATGCGGAAGGGGAGAAATGATCTGAAAATCTGAATCTTAAAAACTTATAATCAATTTTACCTATTTTTCTCCAGAAATACCTGGTACTGCAAATTTTGAGTAAAAGTCAAGAGAGTTCTTGACTTTCCCTTCTGCTTGTATAGGATTCAGTTTTCTCAGATCTGCTATGTTTTGACTTCTTTTTTATCCACTTTCTAGCTTCTCAAAATTTTTTGTCCTCTCATTCTCTTTGTTATTGTGGGTTGAAGCCTTGAAAATAATTTCTAAAAATCCCTTGGCAGTGAATTTAGAAGACTTTTATGGAGGGAGTGAAAGAAGATGCATTTGATTGAATTATTTCCCTCTTGATGACTTTTGATCTAGGACAGCAGTCTAATTTGTTTTTTGTGGTGGAGTCCTATCTTTAAATGGAAATTGTATGCAGAAGCTCAGCCTATAAAGTGGATTAAACGGAGTTGATATGTTTGAAGAGAGGATGAGGGCCTGTGGTTTACTTTCTCAGTTCTCCATTTGCCTCTTCACTACGATGAGAAACCCTTGGAAGGCGTGTTTGTAATCCACTGATTTAGAAGCTGGACCTGATTTAACCCTCCAGTAGATATTAGACATTTGAATGAAGTTCACAGCATTATGGAAGGAGCATTGATTTATTCCCTAAGAGATTAATTTTTTTGTTTCCAACTGCTCAAAAGATGCAAGACTTAGAAAAGAACTATTTTAAAGATTTTTGATTTGGAATGAAATGTGACTCTGGACCTCCTTGCAGGCTAACTTTATAAACTTAAAAATAAGTTTAAAATGTTATTTTTTATTTGAGAGGAAAGTGTGTAAATTAATGGTGCTTACACATTTTTATAACTGAGGATGCTGGAAAATACCAAATTTACTTTCAGACAACTAAAATTCTATTTTATACTGGATTGCTTTTGATCCAATGTTTTATTCCAAATTATTTACCGAATATATGAGTAGAGGAGGTATTCAGATGTCTGTAAAGTCAGAAAAATATTTAGACCTTATTCTGTGTATTATTTAATTTGTGCCTGATTTAATTTAATATTTATGTGAGTCTAGCCATTAAAAATATTATTTCCTTTCTCCACCACCTTTCCCTGGCACTGACCATCAGTTACTTGATGAAACCATGGAAGAATGTGGAAGTATTCCCACACTGCAGGTCACTCAGAGGTCCAGTGGGAAATGACACCAGGATTTACAAATGCTGCCAAATGAACTATGTATTCTTATATCTCTAAATGACTCAATGCATTTTTCAATGTAATAAGAAAAAATAAAATAAGAACAACCTAATGAAGAGAAAACAAAAAAACTCATTTGCTAGTGTAGAGAACTAAAATGAAGGAAGCACAAGTAGGTCTCCTCAGAATCATCCACTTGGTGTCTAACTTTCTGCTGTTACTTGTTTGACACTAGCATCATTTCACAGAGGACTCAGGCAGCATCTGAAAAAAATATTGTCAATTGTGCTACAAAAAAGTATTCATCAGCTTCATTTGCAGACAGGTGACACTTTTTGAAAAGAGAAATGTGACCCAAATCCTTGTGAGAAACATCTACCAATTTGATTGCTGCTGCATATTGGAAGGACTCTGGAAAACAACTACAGCATTGTCTTGCTTGTGACCTCTTTTGGAGACAGACTATGAATGGGACATGGGACCTCTGTAAGACATATCTAGTGGAGCACTGAGAGATGGATGAAGAGGGCCCTGAGGAGGGGTAATCTTTCAACCTTCTTGAAGAATAGTACTAAAATGGAGAAAAGGTTGACTTTGTAAATCTGTCAAATTTAGAAAATGAAAAGTCCCAGGAAAGACAGTTTTTGGGAGAGTGTGTGCTGTGTTGATTGTGCGGGTCACATGAAGGTTGCCCATGAACACACAGGGACACTCGGTTACATGTGATGGCAAAAGGGAATGTTTGCCATGGCCTCAACTAGCTTCTTGATGACATCATGAAGCTGGCCTTTGGCCAAAGGACTTAGAGAAGAGCCAAAATGTTGTGAAACACTGAGAAGACACTCTTTGCTGCTGTCTCCAATAAGAAGCCAGAGGAAAACATGCAAAGAGCTAAACCAAGTCACTGAAGCTGTGCTGCAAAACCATTGTTCAGGTTGGATTATCTGCTCTTTGATAATCTCTTGAGAAAAATGAAGCAGCTCTTCAAACAAATTCCATATTCGAGAGGTTGTTGAAACTCTTTTTCCTGAGGTCTCCACTATACATTTTTATCTGTGTTTTTATATCTCTTTAATGGTTCATACATAGAACTCTCAGCTGTGGAATCTTGAGTGAGACCATGTAAAATGGGAAGCAAGGCGATGATCTGCAAGAGGTCATGGGGCAGGATTGAGACTCCAGGATCTTTGCCATCTGAAGAGCAGACTCCCTCCTCTGCTTCTCCACCTGCATCTCTGCTTTCACCTACCGTCCTTCTCTCTCTTACCTCTTCCTCTCTCTTTTTTTTTTTTTCATTTTCATAAGCATTCCTGCTTATTAAGCCCGCCACAGTTGGGTTTTTCTTCATGGCTGTCTGAGCCTGGGGTGGCTGATCTGAACCAGTATCACTTTGTGTGGTTGGTGGTGGAGGCAAAATATAACATATGTGAAGTCACTATATAAATGGTGAGCTGTTCTAATAGGTTGGTTGCTACTCTCTTAAAGATTGTTATAGGAAGTGGCTCATCCTGCATACAGCAGTCCCTTCCTGTGGGCTTGTCCTGAGCTTTGTTCTGAGCTCCTCTTGTCATCCCACTGACTCTTGCTGCCCTAGCTCCTACAGAGGTCTGTTCTGTATCTGATCTCCCAGTTTCCCTTCTCTGTCTTTCCCTTCTTCTCATTATGACTTCTTTACTCTTTCTCATTTCCTCAGAGACTTCTTAGGAAAGGGTTAATTTTGGTTTGCCAAACTCATTGAAGCTAAGGTGTTAATGAATAACAGCTTTGATGTGAACATGTCAGAGAAATTCACATTTTAACTGGGTACTCCTGGAACTTGAAAATGGAGCCTGCAGTGAAATTTTATGTGTGGTGAGAGGTCAGTGGAGAAGAAAAGGGATCCTTTTCTTAGTTCTCCAAGGCTTGTGCATTTGGATGACTTCTTATTCCACCCATTCAGGAAGGGAGTTTTAATATTATGTATACAAGCTATTGAGTAAAATATTTACCTGGGTCATGAAGGGTCAGGGAAGATTTGTGTTTAGAGGTGGGAGAAAAGGATAAGGGCATCTTTTAAGGAAAAGTAGAAAATACATAGTACAGTAAGAAATAAAGAGCAAAATATGGGTATTTCAATCACTCCCAGAGCCTCTACTTTGTTAAAATTTCACTGCATCTGCCTGTGATTACAAACAGGCAAATACTGGTTATGCAAATACAAACAGGGTGTCATAGAACTGAGAGTGATTTGCATGGCAAAGATGATCACAGGGATCCTACTTTCAAGTTGTAGGACTAGAGTTTGTGCTGGTAGCTAGGTTTTTGCATGAATCCAGGGAAAGAGCTATCTGCATCTCTGGTCTCAGCAATGTGGCTTAGTCGCAGAGACTGTTTTTCCCTGTGGATTTGCCTTAGCACTTCAAAGTAGGAGCTGAGTCTGAGCAGAACCTCCCAGGAGAAGATGCCCTCTTCACTCACGTTGTTCTTCATAGCCATCTTTTGCCTGGAGTCATTGGCTGCAATGCTACAGAATGGCTTTATTGTTGCTGTGTTGGGCAGGGAGTGGATGCAATGCCTCAGACTGCCCTCTGGTGATATGATTGTGGCCTGCCTGGCTACCTCCAGGTTCTGCCTGCATGGGATGGCCCTCCTGAACAACCTCCTGGCTTCCTTTAATTTTTGTTCCATAGTTTACTATTTCAACATCCCATGGGACTTGATCAACACTCTCACTTACTGGCTTACTGCCTGGCTTGCTGTCTTCTACTGTGTGAAGATCTCATCCCTCTCTCATCCCATCTTCTTCTGGCTGAAGTGGAGGATTTCTAGGTCAGTGCCCAAGCTGCTGCTGGGCTCCCTGATTATATCTGGTGTGACAGTCATCCCAGTAGCCACTGGGAATTTAATTCTTCAGCAGATGATTGCCTCCCAGAGTTCCCATGGAAACTGTACTCTGGCAGATAGAACACAAACCTTCTATAGGTACTTTCTTCTGCCTAATGTAGTGCTTGTGTGGTTGATTCCCTTCCTCCTGTTCCTGGTGTCCACCCTCTTGCTCATGTTCTCACTGCACAGGCACTTGCAGCAGATGAGGGACCACAGACCTGGCCCATGTGATCCCAGCACCCAGGCTCACACCATGGCCCTGAGGTCACTTGCCTTCTTCCTCATCTTCTACACATCGTATTTCCTGTCCCTGATTATTGCTGTTAAGAAAATCACAACACTTCAGAATCTGTGGCACTGGGCCTGGGAAGTGGTGACCTATGCAGGCATCTGTCTGCACTCCAGCATCCTGGTGCTAAGCAGTCCCAAGCTGAGAAAGTCCCTGAAGATGATGGTCTGGAAAGCCATGGAGAAAAGGCAATTCATCTCGAGTTGTCAATATCAATAACCAATATCGACAAACAAACACACGTGTGGCAAGAATGCACAAGGTTTGGGCCCTGTCCTTTTCTCTTTTCATTTCCTTCTTCCTTTCTCACTCCTTCCATGCCCCATTAATTATTTTTCCATCCCTCTCTGTTCCTACCATCCCCTCCACTGCTCATAGTCCCTAGTTCATGTCTAAATCCACCTTGACCTGGATGATGGCCTTGTTTCTGTGCAGGCTTCTCTAACCCTGTATACGAGGAACCTTAATAATCTCCAAGCATCATTGTGTTCTCTATTTCCTTAACAGGGACATGTAATGGTTGTCAGAGGCAGAGTTTTCTCTGTGGTCAATCCAAAGTTTTTTTTTTTTTAATAGCATAGATTGTCCCACACCCTCTGCTCTGTAGACATCACCTGCTCTGTTCATCCTTGCTCTGCTCTCAGCTCTGTCTCTCTAGTTCAGCCTAGTAAATCTTCTTCCACCTCCCCTCATGTTCTTCTCTCCAGCTCATTGTGTTTGGCCCACGTGCAACTTCCTTCTTACTTTTCTCTGCCAATCTTTGCCATTTCATTCTTTGGTGCTCTGCTTTAGACTTATGCCACCCCAGGAGCTTTTTGGTTTGATTCCCTCCCTGTAAGGCTGAATGCAGATATGAGTTTTGTGCCAGTATATGTCCTGTCCATGATTTTGTGTGTTGCTCCATGGTGAATTAAAGGGAATTGTCTGACGTTGAAATGCTTCTAGGCTTTGGCCAAGAGAAGATAGAGAAGGAAAACAAAGGACGTTCACTACAGGTCTTAATTTTGATAATCCTACTCTTCCTGATCACTCAGCTTGGAGGTGGACTCTAGATGCCTATGCCTAGGGTGATAGTCTCCCAATTTGGGTGTTTGCATACCAGAGTGTGTGTAAAATGATCCATTGGATGTGAGAAGAAGATGTGGCAATTTCAATTTCTATTTATTTTTATTTCATCCTTTTCATTCCTTTTTTTGGTGTACGTTTTATGATGCACATAATGCATTAGTATATTAGTACGTGCATACAATTAAGTAAAGAAATATGCATATGGTGAGATGCACGTTTATAATTTATTTTTTACTGATGGAGTTCTTCATAAAAATGTATGGAGTGGGACCGGCCCTGTGGTGTAGTGGTTAAGTTTGGCACACTTGGCAACAGCAGCCCAGGTTTGTGGGTATGGATCCTGGGCATGGACCTACCCCACTCATCAGCCATGCTGTGGCAGTGGCCCACATATAAAGTGGAGGAAGATTCACAACAGTTGTTAGCTCAGGGCTAACCTTCCTCAGCAAAAAAAAAAAAAAAAGAAGCGTAGAGACCAGGGACTAGTAGGGATTGTTAAAAGCACCAGACATAGTTAAGAGAGATTTGTAGGACAGGAAGAAATATTCCTCTATCTATCTAGGTTCTTCTAGATGATCCAAGAATTAAATTCACATGAGAAAATTTAATAACATGTATACGTGGAAGAAATCCATGAAAATTGAGTAACTCACCAAAGTGGTCCAAGCCATCACCTTAAAATGATCTTTAGCTAATGACGAAGGAGGATGTTGCATAGTGGTTTGGGACTTCAAAGGGGAGGAAGTCAATTCACATGGAGATGGGAAAACAAATGTTTGGTAAACCAGTGTTTGCCAAGCCTTGAAAAGACAATGAGATGTGGAGAGGACTTTGATCAAATGAGCCTTGCTCGGTTCCTCCTTGTCTACCACACCTAGCTCATATTATACCATAGTTATCTATGCTATTAGCTCCTTCCTGAAACAGGCCTTCTATCTTAAATTGCTTGTGGCAGTTAGAGAAAGGTCAAAGTTTCTCCCTGAGTCTTTTGTTCTCAAGAATAATCAAGCCAAACAGACACATTTGGGGTAGCAAATTCTGCTCCCCTGCGTTTCCACAATTGAAACTTAAAAAAGCTTCACATTCCAGATGCTGAGTTGGTAGATTGTTCTATGTCACTGAACTAGTCTTTTAGTCCTGACAATAGGTCAGTCCAGTTAAATTCACTTTGGGAGGTGATGATGCAGGTGGCTTCCCAAAGTTAGGCCTATATTGTGTAAGCAAGCAATCAGGTATTTAATAAGAGACATTTCTATGGAAACAAAAGTAAAAATAAGGTTAATGGTTGGAGCAAACTTTAAACCAGTTTCTCAGCCCAGGGTACAGTCAGTCAAGAAATTTTGTAGATGCCCGTGTTGAAGCATCTTTTGCAGTTTGAAATATCTCTGATGATTTCATGGAGTGTTCGTGTATCTTTCTGAATGGCTTACACAGCAACAAGCATGCAGATGGTCTAAACATGGGCTATATCAATATTAATTTGATGTCAAGTTTTCCAGCTTCAGGTTTCAGGGCTTCAGGTAAAAGTGTGGTTTCAGTTCTCAATGATTCCAAATCAAAAATTTGGAAAAACACTAGTCTGGAGGCTTGTAGACAACAAGGGAACTAGAATTTCTGCCAGTTTACAGGTAGAAAGCAAAAAGTCAAGACCGTTAAGAGAACTAGAATCTAATACCTACTAATGTGTATTATAGTTTCTACTGAAACATATTTTTTATCTCTAAAATCACCCTCATTTTTACCAACGATAGCCAAATTAAGACATTAATTTGCAAAATATGTCTAATTTCAATCACTTGGCTCAATATTTATATAAGTACAGAAAGAATAGTGATTGATCATATAGGTCTTTTAAATCTGCTTTGCTGGAACTTTTCATAAGGAATCTAAGATTGAACTTGTAAGACCTATCAAGACCAGGGCAGCCAATCCAAAGACTTTTAAACAGACTCTGCCCTCAATATCTATAGATTTGGGTGAATTCCTCTCTTCTCATTGTCCCCCAAATATCTTGAGGTTTTTGCACCTACCAGGAAGTGACCTTCTTTACTCACCTGGTATGGTTGCTGGGAACTCTGTAAACAAGGTAGCAGCCTGATATTTCTAAGGGGCTTTATTTGCTCCATAAAGTCAACCTTTGTTCCTGAAAGCTGTCTGGTCATATGTTAGTCTGTGCATGTCTCTCTCAAATATGAGATTCCGGTCAAAGCCTTGGTAATTTAACCAATGTTTCCAATTTTGTCTTGTTATAAGGAGAACAGATTTTTATTGAACTTATGCAAATCACACTATTGCCATGAAAATAAGAATACTCCCTCATTGAGAGTTTCCAAATTCTGGAGGGATCAGAGAGGGAGAAAAAGATAAATATTTCAATTCTGCTTACAAAGGTACAATATACTAAATTGCTATAAGTCATAGTTAGCTTAAGAGAAAAGAGAAAAAGGTATCTTTAAATCTGGGAAAACAAAACAGTGTAAAAATGAGGAATATTTCAAAGAAAACATCATAAAAAATATAATCATCGTCCTCAGTCCATTCAGTCCTATGTAATCAATTCTTGATCTTGATCTTTTATTAGCAGTTTTATGAAGCCATTGGTTTCTCCATTAGAGTTCTGTAATTTCTTACCCAGTTCAGTTTTATGATCTGAGAGTTTATCCAAAACTTGCATTCTAGAGTATGTGTCAGAATCTTTTCCATGTATCTCTCTGAAAATGACACATATTTGCATAAGCATCAGAGTAGGACAATAACTGTCTATAAAACACAAAAGAGTTAAAATGGCATGGTTAAAGATTTGATTACAATGCAATTGACAAGTAAATATGTTCTTTTGTGTAACACACATTTTAAGATGGCAATTAGACTGATAACACTATAGCAGGACATATCAAAAAAAATTCACACAATTTCTAGAACACTTATATAAATAATATATACATTCAAGGATATTCATAAGGGAGGTTTAGCGTCACTATTGACAATGCTTCCCACTCAATTTAACACACCAAATAACTTATTTGTTTAATATTTCCCTTTTCACAGGAAGATAGAAAGAATTCTTTGATAAGTCCCAGGGTCCTGCTGGAAATTCTCAAAGTTAATTTCAGGTCAAAATAAAGACATTATTTAGGATTTGAATTTTCTGGAAGTTTGTCAAAAATATCGAAAAGTTTTAAAACACTTCATCAAACAGGATTACAGGTAATTGTGAAACAATTTTTAGTTATCCATTTAACCAAAGTGATGACAGAAGATGTTAAAGGGAAACCTAGAGTGTTAAACGGTGAAAAAAAAGTAGCTTTTTTATTTTAGAGACTTTGGCTTTTTGAACATAGGAAATTATTTTGACAAAACAGAAGAATCCTTGCCATTTATGTAGACTTACACAAAGGTAAAGAAAACCTTTCATAATCACTTTATCAAGAACAGACAAAAAAATCCAAGAAAACTATCTTTTTAAGAAAGAGAGAAAATCAAATTCTAATTTTATACCAGCTTATTTTGACATTGAAACTCATTTAGTTAATTAAATTCATTCCAATCTTAGCCAACTTGACCATGTGCAGAAACTATTTTTTCTGAGAATTCCTTTTTCACAAACCTTCTATAATTTCTTTTTATATTCAGAATTTGTCACATGCCTTTCCTGCTTCTTAGCATATCTTTGGCTCAAAATTTATTTTCCTCTTTCCCATAACCACATTTACTTTAGGACAAATTTATTTTCTTAACAAAGCAAACAAAATATCTTCATTCCTTATACTTTCTTTAATGAAAACATATATCTTACTTTTTTGTATACAGAAATGTCTTCTTTAGTTTAGTAGCTTTAATCACATATGTTAGTTAGAATTCTTAACCCATAGAAACCTTAATTTTTAGTGAAAACTAAGATGTAAGCAGTTATGAGCTATCTTTTACATTAGCATTTGGAGGCTTGCCAAATTTATAAATAATTTTCATAATTTCTAGAAACATATGCTACTTCATAGTACAATTCAATAAAGCACAATATATGTTTACTAATAGACCCAAATATCTTTTAGTTTCTCTGTAATAAGAAACCAAAAGTAGGTAAACTTAGATTTCTTTAGCAATTAATATTTCAGTATTTTATCCTATTTGAAAATGATCTAGATATCAAT